ATTATGTGGAATGTGTTTTGTTCAATCTATGCGAGTTGTGTGAATTATAGGGTTAGTTGATTGATCACCATTCTAACCTAGTTAATCAACGTGTAGAACCGAGAGGGGATGCGTTGGTCAATTTAGGCTCGTATAGAGTAGACATGTTCGGAAACGTATTGTCTATGTGTTGCTTGTTTGAATGAGTTTATCGTTTATGTATGTGCTCTTGTTATGAAGAGTTATTGAGCATAGCCCTCTAGACGTGTAGGCTTGTTAAATCTCGTAACCGAACAAATAATCATTCAACATAGTTTGAAACTTGATGAGATTTTCCGACCCATAGAACTTCTTCTTTTTTCTCTAGAGATTTAATTGTTATTTCTTTAAACTGTTTTTCTAGTTCTAGCTTGTTTAGTCAATTCCCCAAATCAATCGTGATTTAAGACTTATTTTCTTTTTGTGTGTGATCAATACCAACGCTAAATTCCGAACAGTCTTCCTTGAGAGATCGACCCGGGGAACGAATCTTTTGATTCGGTACTCGGTAAAAATAAAAATAATTTGCTACAACACTTGCTGAGCATAACTGGCCGCTACCGTGCACGTTGGCGACGGTACTGGCACGTACAAGTACTACCGGGCGCTGCTGTGCGCCGTAGGTAGACGACTGGCACGCGCGTTGCGCGTGCTGGACTGACTGGGCGCTCAGGCGTGCTGTCGGGCATCGCCGAGGCTCGCTGGGCATCGCTGGCACGCTGCTGGGCGTGCGTGACTGCTGGCCAGTGTGCGCTGAACGCTGCTGGCGTGCGTACTGGCGTCGCAAGACACGCAGCTGGGCGTGTAATGCGCTGCGGTGTACGCGGCTGCTAGACGGACATCACTGTGCGTGTTGACGCGCACTGTGCACGTCTATACGCATTACTGAAGCTTGACTGCCGAGTACTGGGCATGCGTGCGGGTTACTGGGCGCGCGAACGCTGCCTGTGTACTCGCTGGACCTGCCGGGTGCGCCTATGCGCACGCTGCGTGCGGTAGGCATCTCGGTCGGCATTTCGCCGGCCGTCCGGCTACTTTCTCCGCCAACATTAACATGATTCCACATGTTTAAACATAACATGACTATACATACTGATTTTAACTCAAAATCCATGAATTTCACTAGATGGACTCGCATAGTGTCGAGGCGTGCGTACCATACGCCCGTGTTCGGCGTTAAGCCGATTCCTCGACTAAACATGAAATCCTCCGACCAACTTGACATATCAGACTATAAAATGATCTAACATGACCAACTCAAGATGAATTACACGGACAAACAAGATCATACTGAAAGATAACATGATAGGGCATAAGATAGCCCGTGGGCGTGCGCTAAGTGCGCTGCCGACTTCCTTAGGCCAAAACATGGACAAAACCACAACTTGTCTCGACCTATCTTTCTAAAATGAACTTATAAGAACATAACATGATCAAATAGACATGGATTGCACAGGAAATGTCGGGTAAAATTAAACATCACTCGGTCATGACCTAACACGGCCAAAACCGAACCCTTTATGACATATCCTTGCATTTCTTGACATGGACTTCATAAACTGAACTTAACATGATCTAATTTACATGAAAAGATGCTGTACATGAGGTTACCTTCTCAAGTGTTCGGTTAAAATCCCATGATTGGGCGTGATCTCCTCGGTTCGTATGTGCATATGCGTGCTTGCTTAATACATAAAATTAGGACTAATTTGGACTGATTATTTGCTGAGCTTTGTAGCTTAAATAATGAGCTACTAATCCACCCCAAGGTCTAATATATAAACACAGTAAAACTTGAAGGAATTGAAGGGAAACTCTCGGCCAAATGGAACGAAGCCACTTGCCGAGCATCTAAGGTGCAAGAGTGGCACTTGGGGTGCCTAGTCATCCTTCCGAAGGCTTAGTCATCTCCCAACTCACCTTAATTCACCATGTGTCCTTGCTTGGATGATGATGAACGTGAAGATTGGGAAAGTTTGAATTCTGGGCGATTAATTCGGCTAAATACGGCTTAGACGTGCTAAGGACGTGCTTGTGCGCACTAACGGCGTGCTTGTGCGCACTAACGGCCGTACTAAGTATACTCAATGTTAAGTTAAACATGATTATCCCTAAACATGATTAACCTTAAGCTAATTCTCATTAATGTTAATTAATCATCATTAACATTAAGCTAATCATAATTATCTTTAAGCTAATCATGATTAATTAGCTAAACATGGATTAAGTTAATTAAGCAAAGGTTGATGACGATTGCTTAAGCATAAGCTAATGATGGACGGTGTACCAAGTGTGAACGCGTTGCTGTATAGGAATGACGACGTTCATATATGGTAACCTTAACCGAACGTACTCATTTTCGGTTACAACTTGACTTTGGAACTTTTTCGATTATTATCTTGACTTAGACGATTAATCCGAACATTAATATTTCGAATAGTTCGTCAACTTGACTTATTAATTCCGAACTCATTAACTAATTAAATGAATCGGAATTAAATCAAAAAACTCATTCGGTTATTAACTCGAATAACACATCGACTAATAGTCGAACTTGGAATATAGCTGGCTGAATCACTTGAACTTGAACATGAACATGATTATTTATTAACAAAGGCTAGCTTATATTTAAAAGCTAGTATTTTCCTTTATTAATAAAACTCTGGGTGTTACAAATAACAAATGGTTTTATTAATTTTTTTTGTTAGTCATAGATGATAAAATTGAATTATGTAGGCATAGATGATAAAATTGAATTGTAACCGTTTTTAGTGGGAAAGCTATAGATGTTTTATTAACCTCCACTATAACTTTATGGAACCCTTTATTCAATGCAAGTTGTAGGCCATGAAAAATACTCCACAGTTCGGCCCCAATGATGTAGCAGTAGTCTATGTTCATACAAAAACCCGTAGTCCATCTACCCATCTCATATCGAATAAGCCTATTGACACTACTTAGCCCATAAAACTTGTCAAAAATGCCATTTGTGTTGAATTTGACCTACCCCAAATCCAGCGGGACCTAAGAAATAATCATTTAAACACGTTTATCCTAATAAAACCAACTTAAAAGAAAACGCATGAAATAAACAAAAGACGGGAATGAAAAACAGAACACGTCTTCTCCAAACAACTTGCACAACATGCTGCATGTAAGTATTTCAATTTTCAACAAATATCATTATCTGAACCCTATTATAAAAGATAATAGTATTAACATCAAAAGCGTACACATTCGAATTAATGTGTAGGGCGAGCAAAATCAATTTGAAACTGGAAAATAAATTGCAACTTGTAACTTGGTTCAGACTCGATTTTTCTAGTATGAAATTTTTCGATTCGATTTCACTTTTATTTTTCCTAAATTGCGGTGCAGTTGATCACTTATATTTTTAAAAAATTTGACTTTATTGCGGTCTATACTAACTAAAAATAACTTAGTATAAAGATGTATAAAAAATGAATATAAAAATCAGGTTTTTAGAAAGGGAAAGGGGTTCACATAATTGTCGAAAACACCTAGCTTGGCTAGAGTTCTGATTTATACTTAATTCTTCTAAATTCTGGCTAGAGCTCTGATTTAGTATAGAGTTTGGACTTAGCTCAACTTTCTAGAATTCTGACTAAGGTTCTCATTCTCATCGGAGGATAGATCATGCACTTGCAATAATGAAACTGGTTTAGGTGACTTACCTCGGAGTCGGCGCAACGTGAGTGTGGCGTGATCATGCTTTTCTAAAACTTTTTACGTATACTGAATCACTAACTGCTCTGATACCAAACTGTAACACCCCGCCTTCTATAACTAAACTTATAAAAATCATAGTTAAATTTTTGCTTCTTATTTTCGAACAACGCTAACTTTTATTTTCGAAAAAATACTATAAGTTATTTTCGATCACTCTATAAAATATAATAAAAAAAACTCACGAGCTTTTAATGAATAAAACTCTAAACTCTTTGAATGAATAATGGAATAGCTCGTTAACAACATGAACTCGTGAAACTAATATATATAAACTATATACATTATGCAGGTTCATCAGAAAACTGGAGTTTCAAAATTTACTCGATCTTCTTGTTCAACTTTGAAAAGTGAATCTCCATGCCTTGTAGATCATGATACTCTAGATTTAATCTCGCATCTCTCTCTTCAGTCTTGCAAACTTTCTTTCCTTGTTTCCGTGAGAACCTTCGGAAATATCTGCTTGTCGATTTCTTTCCTTTGCTTGATCGATTTTCTAGCTTTTTTCCTCATGATTTCAGTTCTCAAATCTCAACAAGAATATTTTCCTTTTATCATCTTTGTTCTTCCTTTTCCTACAAGTAAAAGAAGACAATTAAATAAATACTAGTATAACATATAGTAAGAGAATATCATAATAAAAAAAAAAATATATATAAAATCTCCTAATTAATCTAATATATTTTCTTTAGATAATTAAATTCAGTGATAAGCATGAAAACATAGAGGGCACAATTCCAAGAAAACCTAACAAAAAGGACAAATGGCCCCAAAAGAGTCGTAGAGAGACAGATTCAAATAATAAACATAAAAATTAAATGGTTGATCTTATCCATAAGTAAAACCCACAACACACAAGCACAACACTCCATTTTCGTCAAACGGGTCCCACATAAGAGAATCGCCTCTCGAATATTCAAATCCTCTCTCTCCCCCAAACAAAATTTTCTCTCTCTAAAAAAACAAAAAGCCAAACAAAAACTCTCAAAAGATTCGTCTGTACGCGACGGCCCGACCTCGGCATCCTCACGCACCCTTTCTTCTTCTTCTCTTTAATCCTTAAAAAAAAAAAATCCCATATAAAAAAATTGAATCTTTGTTCTGTTCTCTACACACAAATCTGTGTTTGCCATTACAAGATCCACTTTTTCCTTTGTCTAATTCTTGGAGAAGAAGGTGAAAACGGAAAGCCCAAGAAAAAGGGACTGATAAAGTAAGAATCTTTGTTGATGAAGATGGCAATTAGCCGCCATAGCCACAGCATTTTGCCAGAGAAAGTACAGAGGTGTCAAGATTATATGCAGGCTTTGGAGGAAGAACGTTGCAAGATTCAAGTTTTCAAACGCGAGCTCCCTCTTTGTCTCGAGCTTGTCACTCAAGGTATTTTCTCTTTAATACTTCAAATTCTCTTGTTTTTTTTGTTTCATTTATTCGTGCACAAGAATTGTAAAGATTGTGATCTTTTTGTTACAAGAATGTGTTATGTGTCGTGGAGGGGTTTTGCAGATTCTTGTGTTTTTAGCTTCTTTTTTTCTGTTTCCATTTTGGGTTTTTGAAATTTCACAAATCCCGACGAAATGGTTCCGTAACGGGACGACCGTAGAATCTCCCTATGTTTTTATTGTTTTGTATTTTTGGGCAGCGATTGAGTCATGCAAGCAGCAGTTATCAGGAACAACAACAACAACAGAGTGTAATCAGAATGGCCAATCAGAAAGCTCTGAGGAGACATCAAGTGATTTGCCTGCCTTTGAAGAGTTTATTCCCATCAAGAGAGCCTCATCTCTGTCTGAAGGTTGTGAGGAACAAGAAGCCAAGAAACAAAAGATCGATGCTGATAACGTTGTTTGTTGTGATTTAGATGGTAATAATGGTGGTGACAAGACTAATATCAAGAAATCTGACTGGCTTAGATCTGTTCAGCTCTGGAATCAAAACACAGATCTAACATCCAGTGAGGTGATTTTCAGTTTTGCTGTGTTTTTGGTAAAATTTTTCGACAAAATTCGATCTCTTCTTTATTATTATCTATGAATTCTCCTTTTGATTTTGACTTTTGTGATGATTTAGGATATACCCAGAAAAGTTGAGGTGAATAAAGGTGGTAGTAATGGTGCATTCCATCCATTCAAGAAAGATAAGGCAGCCACCACTTCACATAAGCTGCCGGAGAAAACTCCGGCGCCGCCGGCTTCCACCAGCTCGACGGTGGGGACTGGCGGCGGCTCGGGTGGCGGTGGTAATAACAATAAGAAGGAAGAGAAAGAAGGGAATTCTCGGAAGGCGAGGAGGTGCTGGTCGAATGAGTTGCACCAGAAGTTCTTGGAGGCCCTTAATCAGCTCGGTGGTTCACATCGTATGTATAGAATTAGACCTTTTTTTTTTAATTATCTAAGTGATGATAAACGCGTAAATTGTAATTATATTTTGTCATTTGATTGGCTTTAATGCAGTTGCTACACCAAAACAAATTAGGGAGTTGATGAAAGTTGATGGGCTAACAAATGATGAGGTCAAGAGCCATTTGCAGGTTTGTTGTGCTCATTCTTTTAACATTTTCCTTTTTGTTCTTTCATTTAACTTTATTTGACTTCTGAACATTGTTTAGTTTGATAAGAGTAAAGTTCAAATTTGGTACAATTTAATGGTTATAAGTCGGTACTTGAAGTAGGTTCAGTGGTAATAATGCATTTGATTAATGACTGATTGAGAATATAGCATCTAATGTATCATATAACCTTTGTCTAATGTTCCTGGTATCAAATTCTTCTGAAATTTTTGTGAGTGCAACTCTCGTCTCGGAGAAAAGAATACCTATTTCGTTATGCGATTAATGCTTGAGCAAGAAGATTGTACTAGCTTTAAACCTTCTACATTGTCCATTGCTGTCTAGATTACGGTTTTTCTTATGGTTCTTGCGAATATTTCAACAGAAATGATATATTTCCGGCTTTTAGTTAAGAAAAAGAAAGCTAAGTAGTGTGGTACAATTTCCAAATGTCATATTCTATTGTTGGTTTCTAAAATTCTGGGATCCTTTCTAGACTCTCGCAGAGAAAAATGGCTATTATTTCATACTTCCACAAAAAGTGGCTATATAATCTTGCAGTCTACAGACAGAACATTTTTGTTCGACTTTTTGTTTTTTCTTTTTTCCAACTTTTATACACTATCTGCAAATGCCATCGACTTTTGATTCGACTTTTTTTTATTCTCGTATGCAGAAATACCGTCTGCACACGAGAAGACCAAGCCCGTCCATGCAGAACACAGCCACCACCAATGCCTCCACTCAAGCACCGCAGTTCGTGGTGGTGACCGGAGGCCTATGGATGCCGCCGGAGTACACCACCGCCGCCATGGGCACGAAGGCGGCCGATGGTGCCGCCCCAAACAGAATTTACGCCCCTGTTGCTACTCTCCCCCCACCATTCCAAGAAAAATCATGCGCCGCTAATCAAAGACAACTCAGAATCACGTCAAATTCCGGTGACTTGGGTAGTCATAACGAACAAGATGGTGTTCGGTCAGAATCACCGACAGCATCCTCCTCCACCCATGCGAGAAGTACTTAACAGACACTTTTATTTTTATTTAATTTGATTTTTTTTTTTCTTATGTGAAAATTTGTAGAAATATTGTAGAGGAGATCAGACTTTTTTTGAGGGGGTTGTATTTGGTGATGTTGTGCATGTGGTTTTTGGATATTTTTTGTATAGCATGAATTTTTAATAGTTATTGTTGGAAGTATAAACTATAAACTCCTTACATGGAGTTTCCGAATTTGCTGGACGGGAGGTGTAAATGAGTTGAGCTCGATAAACGAACTTGAATTCGACTCATTTATCAATATTAACGAGCAAACCTCGAGTCTTAACAAGCTACATTCGAGTTATGCCGCAACATAAATTGCGTAAGAATTCCTACTTTCGAATTTCAATGACCCGAGCTGACGAACGAACTTATTTCGTCTAACATTTAACAACAAGTTTACAACATAGTAAACATTTCTATTGAATTTTGAAAATCTATTTGTATTGGGCCTATTCTTCAAAACTAATTTCAAGAACATATAAGGGTCCCCCACTTTAAGAATATCCTCATCGAATCAGAATCACATGCATCATTTAATTAGGTTTACTTAGTGTTTTAAATTTTAATTATTGTTTAATGTTGTTTAATTATTAGTTAGCAATGATTTGATTGGGCAAAGTATATTCTCTCGAGAATCTTGCCTTGTCTAATAAGTCTAAGATACCCTTCCCACTTAAATTATTATTTCGAAATTGTCCCCATGTAAATATTATTATTGCAATTGTCTTCATTTGTTTTGAGATTCTTTGAAAGGAAAACAAATTAGTCATTTGCAACTAAAATTAAGCTTGATGTCGTTTAAGCAAGGTTTCGGGTTCGAGTCTTTGTGAATGTAGAAAACTCTTGTTGGGAGACTCACCCAACATTACCAGATTTGCGACCCGGGTCAACCAACGAATTAGTCGGGACAATGCTCTGGATACCGTAGTTGGTTACCGGAAAAAAAAAAAGTAAAAAGTTATAATTAAATATCATAAATTCCAACCCAAGAATTGAACAATTACCTCATTAATTTAATCATGCTTTTAATTTAAATTGAAAATGGCCTTTGAGTGCAAGTTGAGACAAACGTCTCTTGATCTCATCTAAACAACATTATACCATGGTATTTCGTAAAAAAATATATATATGTATATATATAACTAGTACAATACCCGTGTATTACACGGGTGCTTGTTAAAAAATTATTCTTAAATTTTAAAATTAATGAGAAAATTATATTAAATTTAGTTTACTTTTTTACA